GGTCGTGCACCACTTGTTCCCGCAAGTTGGATGGGGTCATTACAGGGAGCTCTCCATCATCATTCGAGAGGTGTGCAACGAATTCGGCGTGATGTATTCCGTTGAGCCCACGTTCTACGCGGCGGTGGCATCGCATTTGCAATATTTGAAACGTGTCAACGATGAGCCGCTTGCTTCTGTCTGGATGCGCCCGCCTGTTGCAGATGTCCCAGAAGAGGTTATGGACTGCTTAGATCAAGTGGATTGGTCTGGACGCGTGCACTGAGCACTGATTCCATAGTCGCAACGGCTTGCTTGGCGGGCCCAGCTGCTTGCCAGCAGTACGCCGCCCTCCACATCAGCTGGGCGCATCGAATGTGCAGGGCGCGATCTGATCCATCCCGTGCTAGATCGACCATTCAAATGTTCTCCGCCAAATAATCTAAGCTGGCTCGCCCGCGTCATTGTGTCGTGGTGTTGGGACCTACAGTCCAACAATCCAGGCCGCCCAAATGGGGCCAGACCAGATGGTGTCGGTGGATCGCGCCGCCCCGCCGATGCATCAGCGATGGGGCCAGCGATGTTCTCCATCCCGATGTCGGGATGCATCAGCGGGGCGGCGCGATCTTCCGACCCTATTTGCGAGAACCTCATTTGCGCAGCCTTTCAGCAATGTTCTCAGAGGCCACCGTGGACAGTAGGCGCTCCGGAGGGAAAAGGATGTCACAGCCGGCACGAGGGTTGAGAGAGCAGCCCTGGCTGTAAAGGGGTACGCTTGTGTTCTTCGTGTTTGGGTTCTCCACCCTTGAATGGTTTTTGTGTTCGGGTAACCCCTGAGAGTCTTTGGATAACCCCCCCAAAAAGGGGTAGTTCATTATTTTTCTGGCGACCTTATCGAAGGATTGGGGTCCCACCATCAGCGGCAAATAGTTCTTCATCCTCGGCACCCGCCTCGCAAGGAGGAGGAGGAGGAGGAGCAGGATGAGGAGGAGGAGGAGCAGGAGCAGGGGGAGGAGGAGGAGGAGCAGGAGGAAGAGGAGGGACCAGTTTTATTCACCGCCGAGTGAAACAGAGGGGGGTATCGAAACAAAAGACTCTTACGGCTTACCTGCATGGGTCCTCTAGCCTTCGGCGAACGGGTCGTGTTGCCGGCCCATGTTCTTGCGGCCACGCTCCGACCGCACGCCGGGCCTCGCCTTCGGGCCGCCTCTGGGCGCGAGGGGCCTGTGTGCAGGCCAGGACTGGCATCGCTCGGACGTGTGCATTCTTTCCTCGTCGAGGACCATCGAGGAGCATGCTGGATCATCTGGCGAGAAATGCACACACGAAACCGAAGAGTGCACGGGGAAAGGACGTCCGAGCGATGACAAGCTCCCCGGGGGGGGCATCAAGAGATCGTCGATACTGCGACCAAGCGATTGAGAACGGGGGGTCGCAGCGCCCAACTGGGAAGTGTGCGATCAACACGATGTCTGGGGCTCGTCGTTGTCATCGTCGAGGCCGCCAGGCCGCAGCCAGCAGCCCAGACCAGAAATATCTGTGTGTATAGCATACATATAACGGGTTCACCGTGTCCAGGGGCCTAGGGCCGGAGCCTCGACCGCAAATGTGGGGCCCGGGGCCCGGGTCCGCCTCTGGGAGGCGTAAAATCGCCCCGGGGAGCCCTCAGAGAGCAATCCTGGCGGCCCCAGACGGTCTCGAGACACCCCCAAGACGACGTCCAGGGGCCTTTGGCGACACTTTTTTTTTTTTTACAGCCGCAGGCGGAAGCTCCAGCGGCAGGCGGTCACGGTCGGGCTGCGGCCGCGACAAGGGGGGCGGGCGCGCGCGGGGCCGCGGTCAGGCGGCAGGCAGCAGCGACCCAGGGCGTCTGAGCCAAAGCGTGCATCCAGGGAGTCTGCAGGGCAGCCCCTGAAAGGAACATGCAACGGCGCATCCAGGGAGTCTGACAACAGGCACCGAGGAAGCCGAGCGCAGCCAAAATGGCGCGTGACGTTCCCAGCAGATCGAGTACGAACGGGTGGGGAACGGTTCCGAGCGGGACGTCAATCCAGGGAGTCTGACGGGTAGGCACAGACTGATTGGTGACACAGTCCAGCGGGGAAAACTCTGACGGCGGCAGCGGACCATCGCGACGTCAGAAGACGCATCCAGGGAGTGGAAACAAAGTAGCCAGGGAAAGAACCTTCCACAACTGAGATGCGCCTGAGCCCTTGGACCAGCGACTGGTTAGAGCACAGCGTGTGCACGAAGCCACACGGTAGAAACACGTGGTAGCTGGGAGTGCACCACCAAGGTGACTCAGCGCCACCCATACGCACGTAGGGTGGGACGGGACCGTCGTATACCCAAAACGCGTCCCTCAGAGTCACTTCGTTCCAGGGACACGGCTGAAGGCCGTTGAAAGGTTGAAAATCCAGGGAGTGACGAATCTATGGACAGGCGAAACCGCCAGGGCCCACAGTCGCGCGCCAGGCCGCGCCTGGCGGGTGAAAGCAACTACAGTAAGGCCGGTGGCCACAGGTCCACCTGCGACAGTGAATGCCGCGTGGACGGTATGCGTTTTAAACTGCCCCGGAGGCCCCCAAGACGCCTCAAGAGGCCTTTAAGATGCCGCCGAAGAGCGCCCCGAGAGGGCAAAATCGTTGATTGTGATAGGTTTGTTTTCAATGTGTTTTGCATTCTCGCTGTTTCGTGTTTCCGGCGCTGAAGCACCGCCCAAAAGGCTCCCAAAACCGCTCCAAGACGGCCCAAGAGGCCCCCAAGAGAGCCCCAAGACGGCCCGAGAGAGCCCTGAGATGGCCCCAGAGCCGCCCAAGACGGCGCAAGAGGGTCCCAAGAAGGCCCCCAAAGGGGCCCAAGAGAGGGAACGCGAACCGAAAAATCAAGCTCTCCACCCCAAGATGCCCCCAAGAGGCCCAAGATGCCCCCAGTAGAGGAGTGGTAGGGGCACGACACCTGATACATCACATGGTCAACGACTGCCCTCCTCGCTCAGGCGGGGCCTCCCTGGAGGAGTGGGAGTGGGAGTAGTCTCTCTGGCGTGGCCTCCCTGGAGTGGTATGCATGGTATGGTAGCTTTGGTATGGTAGGTGTGGTATGGCATGGTAGTTGTGGTATGGTATGGTAGGGTAGGGTATGATATGCTATGGCATGGTATGGTACGCCTGGTATGGTATGGTATGGTATGGTAGGGTTGGTATGGTAGGTGTGGTAGGTCTGGCATGGTAGGTGTGGTATGGTTGGTGTGGTATGGTAGGTCTGGTTTTGGTCTGGTATGGTATGGTAGGTACGGTATGATATGGTAGATACGGTCGGTATGGTAGAGGAGGAGGAAGAGGAGCAGAAGGAAGAGGAGAAGGAAGAGAAGGAGAAGGAGAGGGTGTTCTAGGAAATGAACAATCCCAACTAGGATGTGGGGAACACGTGTTTCGCCTGATGCATCCTCATCGGAATTCACAGACAGAACGGATTCGATCCCCAGGGAAAGTGTAATCTGTAAGAATATGCTTCCTCGGCCCTTTCGGGGCCTCCCGCGGCCTCCTGTGGTCTCCTGGGACCTCCTGGCGCCTCCTAACGCCTCCTGGGGCCCCCTGAAGCTTCCTGGGGCCTCTTGGGGGGGCCCTTTGGGCTCTTCTGAAGCCTCCTGGGGTCTCCTGGGGCCTGCTGGGGCCTTCTGGTGCCTCCTGGCCCCCTGGAGCCTCCTGGGGCCTCTTTGGCCGTCGTGAAGTCTCCTGGGGCTTCCTGTGCCCTCCTGGGCCAGACGCCTTGTTACATGCCCCCTCCCCCCCCCCCCACTGAGCGGTTTGGACACGTGAGAACACGGTTGTCCCAGCTCGGGACACCGTTAGATATATATATATATATATATATATATATATATCCCATGGGGTACACACAAAAACACGTGCTTCCAGCTCGGGACAACCATGTTAGATACCCAACTGTGGCTTTCAAACCGTGACAACACGTGGCCCCAGCTTGGGACAGCGGTTTTAGATGCCCACGAGGACGGCCTGGACACGTAATGGCACGTGGTTCCAGCTTGGGGCAGCTATATTAGATACCCCCCCTGGGTGGCCTGGGCACGTAAAAACACATGGCATATACACGGGCGCCAGACGCATGTTGGATATTCCTCCGCGCACGCTTTCTACGTATGAAGAAACCGACAATGTCATGTTGGGTATCCCCCTGGGCGCACATTTTTAAGCCGGCACGCACGGGGTGCATCTCTTCGACCAAAAAGTGTCTCGCACCCTGTGATTTATCGATCGGGATTTCAAAAACACGCGTTTCTCCCGATACATCCTCAAGCAATACTTCGCCAGCCCTACGCGACCTCGATGATTATTAGAAGATTGATTCGCTGGCCTTACGCAAGTCGAGGGTCGAACCCCAGACCCCCTTACCAACTAAAAGAGAATCCTGGGCTGACGCCCTTCCTGGGGAAAACAAATCTTCAGGCGAAGGAGGGAAGACGGAGAAGCAGACGAGAGATGCGAGTTTTTCCCAGAAAGGGCTCCAGTCCAGTCTGCTGCCATGTTCGCGTAGGTTCGGCGAATGCGTGCTTCGATGAATAACGTGGTCGAGTGGGGCCAGCGAAATCATTTGTTGAGGACGTCTCTAGCGAAACGTTTGTTTTTTGCAGCATTTGTTGATGTCTCAGGGGGGACGCTTGTTTTTGTTTACCGGGAACTTCTCGTGATTATTTGCTGTGACCACCAGCTGCCATGACATATTTGAACGGATGTCTGACTCTTCCATGAAGTAGACCTGGTCGGGCCCTTTCCCGTAGGACCTGATTTGCGAGGGTTGCGCATGCGATTTGCACATGCAGATTGCGCATGTCTGCTCATATTGTGTCTGTGGTACGTAGTGGCGTTCAACCAGATTGGGTCGTGGACAAGAGGCCCTCGGAGGCTTCGTTGGGTCTCTTGTGAGGCCTCTCGGGGGCCGTTTGGTGGCATTGGCTCTCATTTCGTGGAGCGTCTTCAGAAAAGATTACTTCTCTGTTCCAGGGCACCGAACCGACTTCCAGACGATGATCGCGGCTGTCTTGGTCGAAACCAACAGCATTTGGGCTCGAGGGAAACCGACTGACAGTACTGTACGTTGCAGTGCATCCGCCTCGCTTAGCCCCGGTTTAGCAGTATCGATTGAATCATGGCTCTCGGCAAGTTGGCGTTGAGCGCTCTGGTGGTCTGCTCCGCCGCAGCCCTCGCAGAGGAGGGGACCTGCGCTGCCGAGGACGGCTGCGACGAGGTGGGCCTGGCGCAGCTGCGCCGCGCGGAGGCGAGGGTCGCTCTGGCGGTGAACGCAACCAGCAGGTGCTCCATCGGCTGCGATCCCCACTCCAACCCGATTGGCCGCTGCCCTGACTTGTCCGACTGCCCCGCCAGCGGTTGCTGCGACAAGGTGGTTCCGACGCCTGCGCCGACTCCGTCGCCGTCGCCACCTTCGGGCCCCTGCAAGGTGGGCTGCGATCCCCACTCCAACCCGATTGGCCGCTGCCCTGACTTGTCCGACTGCCCCGCCAGTGGATGTTGCGACAAGGCGGCCCTGGCACAGGTGCGCGTGCAAGCGAGCGCATCCAGCAGGTGCTCCATCGGCTGCGATCCCCACTCCAACCCGATTGGCCGCTGCCCTGACTTGTCCGACTGCCCCGCCAGCGGTTGCTGCGACAAGGCGGGTCCGACGCCTGCGCCGACTCCGTCGCCGTCGCCACCTTCGGGCCCATGCAAGGTGGGCTGCGATCCCCACTCCAACCCGATTGGCCGCTGCCCTGACTTGTCCGACTGCCCCGCCAGTGGATGTTGCGACAAGGCGGCCCTGGCACAGGTGCGCGTGCAAGCGAACGCATCCAGCAGGTGCTCCATCGGCTGCGATCCCCACTCCAACCCGATTGGCCGCTGCCCTGACTTGTCCGACTGCCCCGCCAGCGGTTGCTGCGACAAGGCGGGTCCGACGCCTGCGCCGACTCCGTCGCCGTTGCCACCTTCGGGCCCCTGCAAGGTGGGCTGCGATCCCCACTCCAACCCGATTGGCCGCTGCCCTGACTTGTCCGACTGCCCCGCCAGTGGTTGCTGCGACAAGGCGGCCCTGGCACAGGTGCGCGTGCAAGCGAACGCATCCAGCAAGTGCTCCATCGGCTGCGATCCCCACTCCAACCCGATTGGCCGCTGCCCTGATTTGTCCGACTGCCCCGCCGGTTGCTGCGACAAGGCGGGTCCGACGCCTGCGCCGACTCCGTCGCCGTCGCCACCTTCGGGCCCATGCAAGGTGGGCGATCCCCACTCCAACCCGATTGGCCGCTGCCCTGACTTGTCCGACTGCCCCGCCAGTGGTTGCTGCGACAAGGCGGCCCTGGCACAGGTGCGCGTGCAAGCGAACGCATCCAGCAAGTGCTCCATCGGCTGCGATCCCCACTCCAACCCGATTGGCCGCTGCCCTGACTTGTCCGACTGCCCCGCCAGTGGTTGCTGCGACAAGGCGGGTCCGACGCCTGCGCCGACTCCCGGGAGTGGGTGCGCCTCGAACTATTGTTGCTGGTGGCCTCAGCCAGGACAGTGCGGCAGTTGCGGCACCGAGTGGAGCAATCGCGTGTACCTCCCGGGCTCGAATTGCCCGGGCTTCAACGAGCGGTCAGACGCGTATTCGGGTTGCCACAGTCCCGGGACTTGGTGCCGCTAGTTTGACGCGAGAGGCCTAATTAGCACGTTGCCGCCTTGCCATCGTTGAGGTGTAGTGACCAGCTTGTGCAGACCAACCAATCGATTATTCGAGAAGCTGAAGCCATTCCGCCGACGCCCTAGGAGACGCTCGTCGGGGGCGGCAAAGAGGGGGGTGATGACTAGCGGGGGGGGGGGATATCATGGTGGGAGGAGGAGGGGGGGGGAGGACGACGACGGAGAGGGCACGAGGGGGGGGGGGGGTAGAAGGAGGAGGAAGATGAAGACTGCGGTGATTAGAAGGGGGAGGAGGAGGAGGAGGAGGAGGAGGAGGAGGAGGAGGAGGAGGAGGAGAAGGAGGAGGATGAGGAGCAGGAGGAGGAGGAGGAGGAGGAGGAGGAAGAGGAGGAGGAGGACGGGGAGGAGGAGGAGGAGGAGGAGGAGGAGGAGCACCAGTGTAACTGTAAACCCAAGAATCATCAACGATGGTGGAATACACCCTCCCGCCAAGCTCTCCCTTCATAGGTCCCTACAGCGAGTCATTTCCACTGAGGGAACTGCCTCTTTAGAAGACAACCGTCTGAAGACACTGAAGCGTGCGAGCTCTTTGTTCTTGGGATTCCATCGCCACGGATCACCTTGAGTGTTGCGTCATGGCGATCCAGAACCGTATCAAAACGCCATTCCTGGGACTTCAACACCGCGAGCCACTGCAACCTTTGCACCCTCATATAACTGCTTGCTGGTGGTTGATTCCTCAGAGGGTTGAGCGTCGTGAGGGTGTGCTTCTGCTTTGTAGTCCTTTCTGGCTCAAGTCATTTTGGCTGAGCCACTGACCACCGCGGCCTCCAGGGCAGTGGATGCGCGCGGCGGCCCAGGGTGTGGTGCTCTTGGCCTTCCACATCGGCTCGGCTCGGATCGGGCAGGCGTGGGCAGCCGCCCGCGCGCAGCGAAGGCCGCCCCCGCCGCCGCCCGTGAAGGCGCGGGCGCCCGCCCCGCCAGCGCGGGGCTGTCCTGCGGCCGCGGCGCCGCCGACCCCCGCGCTGGCCCAGGAACAGTGCGCAGAGGTGGAGGCGGCCAAGGCCAACTTCCACTGGGGCGTCGAGATCTCGTTCGCGGCCTCTGCCGCGCTGGGTCGCGGATCGGCCGCGTGGGCGCGCTACGACGCTGGCGAGGTTCCCGTGAGGCTCGTCGGCTCCCTCGTCGAGAACGGTGTGCACGCGGGTGCGTCGCCCGACTTTGGCGTCTACGAGGAGCAGCTGAGCCTCGACAGCGACGACTTGGAGGGGATCCGCTTCTCGGCTTCGGTCGACTTGCGGCTTCGAGGGGCCCCCGCCCCTGGCGGCGTGCTCCACGCCTTCTCGACGCTCACGCCCGCCAAGGTCAACAAGCTGCTGGCGGAAGGGGGCCAGGTGTGTAACCTGGAGCGGGCCCACGGCGGGCTCCCGCTGTTGGGCGAGGCGGCTCGAGTGCCAGGAGGCGCCGCCGCGGTGGTGACGCCCGTGCCCGCCGTGGCCCCTGCGCCTGGGCCCCCCCGTCTCGTCCCAGCAGGTGGGGCGTGGGTCCTCGCGGAGCCGTCCGTGGGCCACGACATCGGCGAGGAGTTCACGCTGCCTGCGGGGGCTGCGGGGCTGGGTGCCCGTGCCCTCGTGGTGGTCTACGGGGGCGTCGCTATGCTCGAGCAGCTGGCTGGGGGGGGGGCGACATCACTCGCTCGGGCTTGGCGCAGAGCAACTTTCTCTGCTATGGCCCGAGGATTCTGGCGCGGCCCCCGACGGAACGGACCTTGGCCGATGCCGCGCGCACGACGACGTCGAGCACGGGGCAGGCGGAGGGCCTCCCTGCCCCCCCCTGCAGGGGCCCGCGATCGGAGCCGAGTGGGTCAACTCGGTGGTCTGGGATGGCGAGACCAGTCTGATCGACCGCGCCAGCGAGTGGCGGCATGAGAGCGGCGTCGAGACCCACAGCTTGACCGCCCACGAGCACGGGGCCCCCCGCAAGGTCGTGCCGCTCCTGACGACGGGGGACGGGCTCAACGTGAAGAACCTCCTCGGTGTCGAGCCCTTCCTGAGGCGGGCCACCTTGCATGGGGAGGCCGTGGCTGAGAATCTCGAGGCGCCGAGGTACGAGGGGTCGGGCCACGACCTAGGGATTGGCGAGCGCTCGGGAGGGGCCCAGGCGGTGCCTTCGCTTGGGGATCACGTCGCAGCCGAGCTCAGCAGAAAAGCAGCGATTCTGAAGGAAAAGCGGGCGGCACGGGAGGCCAGGGGCGCGGGCGTCGCGGCGGCGAAGGCCAAGGCAGACCCCTCGGCCTCCGTCAAGAAACGAAGAAGGGAGCGGGGGCGGCGCCGCCAGTAGCCGCCCCCGTCTCTGACGTGATCGTGGCTCGAGGTCTGAGGGGGTCTCTTCCGACCGCAATTTTGGAGCGCGTCGTCCTGGGGCCTGGCCTCGCCGACGGCAAGAAGCAGCAGGGGATCGGCGCGGCCGTGGTCTCTTTCCCCTTCCTGACGCTCCTCGTGCCCGGCGCCCTGGTGCCGGTACGGGGGGGAAGGCTCGGCTGCGCCTCGAGCGCTGGAACGCCGTCCAGTCGGCGGCGCAGGAGGCGGTCGACGGCCTGAACTTGCTCTTCGGGTGTGACCCGCAGGAGCTGTCAATGCCGACGCAGCGTGGCGGGGCTGAGGCCGCGGGCGGCTGCAGTCCTTTGCATAGTGCTATATTCACCGGCATCTGTTCTCCACCATCGCTTCGGGCATGTCGGCCAGATGGCGATGGGGGATCAGGACATGGGGGGATGAGTATCCGGTACCGTTTTGTCGGGGTACAAAGAGTGGCTTCTTTCCGGTTTGCAAGTGCAACTTGTACCTCCCCCCCCCGTTAACATCCTCGCGCATGTCGCGAACGTTATCAAAAGTACAAATTGTTCCTTGTCTGCGTGGCGTCGGTACAAATTGTACCTTCTCCGTGGGGCGCAGGCGCAATTTGTACATCGGTTGCGCCTCTCTCCCCATCTGGACTTTTCCCCCCACTTGCATCCCGCCAAGTATGCCCGATCATGCACAAACTGACCACGCCTCTTTTCGTGAGTTGGCTGGCGTGAATGCGGATTACGAGATGCTTGCATGCGCGGTCGAGCCCTGCGACCCGACGAAGGTGTCCCTGCCAGAGGGGCAGGTGCCGCCCGTTGTCTTGACTGATTTTGTCTCTCCCGAGCTCGGCCGCAGCCTCGACCTTGACAGCGTCTTGGCCGATGTTGACGTGGCCGAGCACCGTCTTCGCCACGAGCCCGTCGGGTCCTACACGGATGTCAGAATCAGAGGCGATGGAGATGTTCGTCTCAAGTTCCTCAGGAGCCTGTATGATTGTGGGATCTTCGGGTTCTGCAGGGCCTCGAAGGGCAAGATTGCACCTTTCTTCGCGAAGAAGAAACAGGGCCGCCAGAGGCTCGCCCTGGACTGCCGAAGGGTCAACCAGATGTTCCGTCACCCCCCTAGGCCTGAGATGAGTTCGGCCGAGAACATGCATGTGCTCGAGGCGCCAGACGAGACGTCGCCTGTCCTCGTCGCCACGGGTGATATACATAATTGCTTTTGCCAGTGTGGGGTGCCGTCTGCGCTGAGCGAGTGCTTCAGCTTCGAAGCCGTGGACGCTTGCCTTGCGAAAAAGTGTGTGTGTGTGTGTGTGTGTGTGTGTGTGTGTGTGTGTGTGTGTGTGTGTGTGTGTGCGTGTGTGTGTGTGTGTGTGTGTGTGTGTGTGTGTGTGTGGGGGGGGAGACCTCGGACGTGTGGGGGTCGTCGCTGCCAGATGTCGGGGGGTCTTCCCGCGCTTGCTCGTGCTGCCGATGGGGTGGACCTGGTCTTTCTACATCGTTCAGGCTCTGCATGCCGAGTTGCTCCGTGAGGGTGGGTTCGGCCAGGACTTGATAATGTCGAATGCTTGGCCTGCCCCTCCGTTGTCCGACGATCCAGTTGCTCTACCCTACTGCGACAACCTCACTGTCTTCGGGATGTCCAGGGACCGCGTCGACCAGCGACTTCGTGAGCTCATCGGCGTGTTCGAGGGGAAGGGCTTCGTGCTTCGCGAGATCTCCGGGGCCTCGACATCTTCGGATATCCGGGGCACCGCCTTCGACGGGCAACGACGGGCGGTCCGTGCGAGGCCCCAGCGGGCCTGGGCTCTGCGGGGTGCTCTTCGGCATGCCGCTCGAGGTGGGTCCATCTCTGGCAGGGCTCTGGGGCGCCTCCTGGCCCACTACGTCGTCGAGGGCCTCAACCAGCGGCCCGCGCTGTCGGTCCTGCGGGCCTCCTACGTCTTCATTCGGGACTGTTACTGGACCCCGAGGCCCCTGTGGGACTCCGTCTGCCGTGAGCTTCTGGTCTGCTCCACCCTGGCACCCCTGCCCCCAGGGAACTTTGGACGTCCGTGGTCTACTTCTGCGCTGGCGACGGACGCCTCTGGGAGTGGGTGGGGCGTGATGGAGGCTGGCTTCGACAGGGAGGAGGCGGGGCAGATCGGGAGGTGGAACGAGCGCTGGAGGCACGAGCGTCTGCCTCTGTCGGAGTGGGCTCCTCGCCGTCGTGCACTGGCGGCCGAGCTCGACCCCCTCGTCGACCCTGTGACGTCCGATGTGGGCTCTTGGGGCCTCGACGTGCTCGGCGGGGCCCCCCTCGGAGTTCGCCTGGCGACCTCGAGCTGGTTTCCCCGAGATTCCGAAGGCCGCGATCCTGGGGCGTTCCTGGAAGTGCTGCGGGGCAGGGAGGTAGAGCCGATCGGTAACAAGGATGGTAGGGCCGTCGGGCCGTCATCAAAGGTACGAGTCTCGAACTTCTGGCCAGCGCCACAAGAGGCGCCATGTCCTTGTCGACAACTTTGGCGTAGCCCTTTGTTTCGCAAGGGGGCGCGCGGCCTCCTTCGGGCTCCTGCAGCTGGTCCGCCGCCTAGCTGCGCTCTCGATTGCAACGGGCGCATGGGTGGCGCTCCGCTGGATTCCAAGCGAAAACAATCCCGCCGACGAGCCGCCCCGCCTCTTCGAGAAGCTCAGGGTGGCGCGGGCAGCGCTGTATGAAGTGCCTGCAGCTGGGGCAGAGCTTGGCGGCCTGTCAAGCAGCCGCCGCGCCATC